TGCGGTTCCTGCCTGAGATATTTTATCGCGAGAAGGGTACAGCAATCCCTTCCCTCGCAGCTTATGAAGTCGATCAAGTTTACTAACAACGCGCTTTGCAGCGCAACGCTTCCAACGGAGACCAGGATTTTATTTGANCGCAGCTTATGAAGTCGATCAAGTTTACTAACAACGCGCTTTGCAGCGCAACGCTTCCAACGGAGACCAGGATTTTATTTGAAAAAAAATTGTGTTGGCGGTCAACGCGGAGAACGAAAAAAGCGTTTTTTTCATCGATCAAAAATTCTTTCCCCCGGCAATTTTTCCGATTTTCCCAGTGAATGATGATGTGAGTCACGAAGTGGTACATATGCATGTCTTGTAGCATATGTTATTCAGCATACGTGTGCCTTCTTGTGCTGCCGGCACGAGGTTTGTCTCGTGCATTCGCGTTTTCGCATGTTGTCGAGAATGTTTGTGTGAAAATCGACCGAAACTCGACTTTCCGTGGGGAAACTCACTACAAGTACGTATGCTGTCCTCAGTACCTAGGGTACATCCGACATTGCTCCAGGAGCACACGTACGTGCGACGGTGGCTTCGAACCTATTAGGCAAACGCGAGGCACTGTTGTTGCTGTCGTCACCGGTCACGGGTTGTGGTTGCTCAGAAGACCACAATGGTGCGTGTGAGAGCGATTGAAAAAACACCACCCCCGAGAAGCAACATTCACTACAGCAAGCACAACGAAGAGAGATAGGGCATGAGAATGTATGGTGATAAAACAACAATCATAACTCAGTCCTCATGTTTAGACTATGTGACCGCCCTCCCTATGTGACGCGGCTGAGATAAGTCCAACACGTAAACCGACCGGCACCAGAAATATATACCCGGTAGATCAACCGCGGGATGAACACAAACAAGCACACTCCACGCGCCTGGGGGCAAAATAGACCATCATTCGCGATTGACTTGCGCACATCTATCTGTTGGAAGCCATCATGTGTATCTGTTGCCGCTGTGTATGTATGGAGTAGACTATGTAACTCTGTTTGAGGTGCCGGCATGTGGATCGACAGAAGCGTAAACAGTCTGATTGGATAGTTTGAATGTTGGGACTGTCAAGCTCAAGAGTCGCTGTGTAGCCATATATTATGAGAATATAGTGAAATGTTCTTGGCCATTTCTCTCTGGCTGTAGAAATGTTCTTCGTGGATAGTACACTAGCCCGAGGATGTGTGATACGTAGGAAAGTGCATTGGTCCGTTCCATGCATCGGTCCGTGTTCGGTGTATATGCGTGATCAGGCGGATGCCCAAGCGTGATGCTGCTGGGATGTTGTGCACCCACCCAGCTCACTCCACCTTTTGACCTGTTCTTCTGGTCCAAGGTCTCACAAATACGACATATTTTCCCCAGAAGCCACGAGTTAATCAACACACTAGTCTATAGCGCAATCAATCTTTTTCCGTGCAGCCTTGACGTACAGTCCGAGGGGACAAGCAGCAGTCGACTGATTGCGCTATAGCGTTGTTAGATATACTCGCAGCAGTATCTGGTCGTGAGGATCCCAGGGGATACGTGTTGGGAATTTCGTGTGTAGTAGGGTACCACCGGTGCAGTCACGGGGATCCTTTTGGCGTGGTTGGTGCGATGGAGCTTGCGTGCGTGCTGCGCACTTCTTCCC